GCAGACTTTACTCAGGATCATTACTGCTTTTTAAATACCCGCATTATTAAACTGCTGCGTCAGTGAAGCGTTCCCCCTCTGCAATGCTGCCGCTCCGGTTCTCAACACTTGAAGGCGTGTAGGGACTGAAGACAGCAGTGCTGAAGTGTTTCAGGGGGATTCTGCCCCGTTCTTCCTGCAAACAAGTCTTAAAGTGAGCAACAGTACGGGCTCTTCCCTGCGTCATTCTGAGCACCGACACAACCCCAGACCAGGACAGAGCCGGGCTGCTGGACCTGCTGCTGGTGTCAGTCTGGATGATCCTCTTCTTCTTTGGTCTGGAGCACACGGCGTCCATTTCTCCCAGAAACACCTGAAACACTGCTTCATCTGAGCGCAGGACACGTCTCCACCGTGTGATGCTCCATCCCGGACGCCCAGAGCAGCGCTTGTGGACACTGTTAACATAGGGCTTCCTCTTGGCACAGTGCAGTGTCGGCTGGTGTTTGTGGATGTGACTCTGTATTGTGGAGCTTGACATGTTTGAGTCCTGAACCCATGTGCTGATCTGCTTATAGATGAATGAGGACTCTTGATGCAGCGCCCCCTGAGGGGTCGGAGGTCACGCTTGTTCAGCTCAGGCTTGCGCTCTTGTCCTTTACGCACTGAAACTCCTCCAGACTCCTTCAGTCTTTAATGCTGTTCTGCACTGTTGAAGGGGAAATCTCCACATGTCTTCCTCTCTCTCTCTCTGAGGAGCATTGTGTTCACACACTTCACTCATTTCCTCTCCTATCTGTGCTCAAACTGGAGATCCTCGACCCATCTCTGCTCCTACAGCACTAGAGCTTTCCTGATGAGCAGATCACCATCACCTGTGGACATCACCTGTGGACATCACCTGTGGACATCACCTGTGGACATCACATCTCATTCAGCAGATCACCTGATCACTGCTGTCTCTGTCTCTGCAGTGTGTTGAGCTCTGACTGACAGCAGAGGATGGAGATTCACTGAGCTGAAGATGAGCAGCTCAACAGCAGATCATGTGTGTTCATATCGTCTGATCTAACCCGAGTCAGAGTCCGTCTGAGTTCACTGCTCTCCTCTGCATCAGTGTTTTCAGTGCTGTGCAACCGTGTCTGATCTGGAGTTGTGGAAATATTGACAGAGCCGGGTCGACATCGTATAACCGCTGCATGCTGCGTGCCCTGAGCAGTGCAGGCCCCTGTTACTGTCACCACACACACACACACACACACACACACACACACACACACACACACACACACACACACACACACACACACACACACACACACACACACACACACACACACACACACACACACACACACACACTCTCTCTATCTCTCTCACCGGTGTATGTG